AAGTTTATAATTCAATTATATTTTTCGTTTTTATTCCGGCGTCCTCCATTAGTTTGTATTTACGTTGTTTTGATTTATCGCGTTCTATCGCGTGTTGCAAATATATAAGATAGTCGCGTACTCGCCTGATTCATCTCAAAATTAACTGTTTAGTTTTTCCTTCGCTTACAAAAGCGCAAGAGTTGTACAACAATTTTTGTGTCGCGTTGCCATCTGCTCATATCGCATGCAGTATATCTTAGTTTAGTTTTGATTAGTTTTAATTTTTACCTGATAGAAAATTTTCTAATCATTCATATTCTTTGATCCGTTGCTTGCTTGCTTGCGATTTTAGTTTAGTTTAAAAGAGGGCAGCGGTAGAAGTGGTTCGTGTTCAGGGCACCGTACGTGGATGATTGGTAAATGAAAAGGTTTCCGTTTTAACTATCCTATCTGATAGAGAATAGTGCGTAGATTAAGACGCTGCGATCAGATCCTATTTATCTCTTTTAGTTTACGAGATATTCGCGATTGAATAAAATAGGCAAAAATTGTAAAATGTCACTTTTTAGCACTTTTAGTCGCATTTTTCGACCTTTTACTGTAGGAAATATAATTATTTTATACTTTTATCTGATAGAGAATTTTCCAATCTTTCATAATCAGGAATTTGTTGGTTGCAATCGCTTTTAGTTTAAGAGATATTAATTATCAAAAATCGTCGAAAAAAAGCATCAAGCACCCCCCCCTTGGCAATTTTTTCTTAAGAATGAAAATTTCATCTCTCAGATTTCCGTTTTAACTATCCTATCTGATAGATAATAGTCCGTACATTAAAACGCTGCGATGCGATCTTTATTATCTCTTTTAGTTTACGAGATAACATACCACAATATTATTGTGGTTACAATTATGGCACTGTAACACTGAAATGGTAATAAGTATAAGTTTACTGACATATTTACGTGTTTTATAAAGTGTAAAGTACGCTTTACAAACAACATGTATGTTAACTAAGCCTCTGTAGGTTGACACAATCGACACAATTATACATAAAATATAATACATAAAACATAAATATATAAAGTTTTAAATTTGGTTTTAGTAAATTAATGTAATAACTTATATAATTATTTATTTCAATTTTACGATGTGTAGTGTTATAAAAAAGAGTAAATTGTGAGTAACCTTTAGAAAAACGCCAATTATTTAATTAACTAAGGTATACAGTAAATTTTTACGAAGACTCAATCTTATTACATCCCAAAGCCAATAAATTAGTTTCGTATGCCGAGAAATATTGAAAGTAAAAGTAAATTTCGTGTATGTGTATTTCAAGACTGTAAATTTTTTAGTTTCCTCTTCTCAACTACGTGTTTATCAGTACGTTTGTGTATAAACAACTTTTTTTGTTCGACGGACTCGTGATATCTGCATACCTGCCTTGTACCCGGCTCCGCGCAGCGCACACGATAGTTGTTTCACCGCGTGGTCCGCGCGCGTATCACTCTAATCGCCACGCGTTTTGAGGTTTAAATTGGAATTATCGTCGTGTATTCGTTCGGCCATCGGCAAAATATTAGCGGTTAGAGCGTTAGAGTCTTCTTAAGTGAGAAATAAGTGTCCGTTAATCCCTGTGCGAGTTTTCTGTTGATAGAATATATTACAGGATAGAAAATTTCCTCATCAATTCACAGGTGGGTGGATAATTAAAATTTTTCGCGGAAAATTAAAGCGGTTTAACTTAAATTGATTATTAAATTTGTGGGATATTAATTTTGTAAATTACAAACACGTGGTGGCATTTTTATCAGAATTCTTTTTAGTCGCGTTTCCGAAAATAACAGGCTTGATTTAATTATTACAAGCACGGTTTTTAAAATTATCTGAGGATTATTAAAATGACAATTTTCATGTGGTCGACCACGCTTACTTTACAGTCAGCCGTCGGTTCGGTCATGTTTTCGATGATCACGTAAATATTTTCAATCAAATTGCATCAGTAATTAATAATTTCTTGTTGAAATAATATCTTGAACGGTGAATAGTTTTTCGTTTTCGCAGTCTCAGTATATCTTAATATTTACAATGAAATAGTTATTTTTGTCGTTTATAACCACTGTGTTTCTAGGCGCCGTCGCTTGCCTTCTGTTGATTTAAATGTTTTCCGCCGGATATTCTCTTTATACAGTTGATGCTACCATAAATTAATAAATATTTATTCACAATTTATAAAAATGTAAGTGTTTTATTTTTGTAGCACCTTTTTGCTCAATTTTCCGATGTTTTTCGGGTAAAATCTCTGATTTTTTATTAAAGTATTGTTGTTATTGTTGTTAAAGTATTGTCAAGTTCGCTCTTCATATTGTGAATTTTAACTCCCTTTGTAGTTTCTAAAATTTTATTTTTGTAACACCCTGTATATTAGTTTTCCTACTAGCACGTAGAAAATCATCTTTAGTTGTGAGTTTGTGTATATATGTTTTCCATTGTGTCCGTTAAAATTTTGCTTTAGCTGTTGTTTTTAGGATTTTCCAATTTGCACTTTAAATTTTCTTTCTGGAACACCCTGTATATTAGTTTCCCTGATCGTCGAGTGAAAACGAGCGGCGTTTGTAGTATTGAGTTTTTTGTTTGCACTTTAAATTTACCTTGTGTAACACCCTGTATATTTGTTTCCATTTTCAATCACCTAGAAAATTGGCTATTTACTAATTTCATTGTTTCGGTAGAACTTTATGAAGTAGTATTTGCTGGCATGTGCGCAGCTATGCAGGTCGTGAGTCCTGTTTCAATATGGCAGCATTCTGTTGACTTGTAAAATTTAAACTTGTATTCCATTGTTAATAAATAAATAGTAAAATATATTGAATTCTTTGATTTGTGTACCCCTTCTATCATTTCAGGAACAGGTCTCTAAGAGAGTTCCCTCTCTCAGGGGATGATCCCCACTATAAAAATTGTTAAGGTATCCTCTATGACTTATGTACTCCTTCTCTCATGTCAGGTACAGGTCAGAACTTGTAAGAATATTTTTAAGTGTCACCTCTCTTGAGGCGACTTAAAACTTAGAAATATTTCAACAAGACCTTATAAGGATTGTCCTTATAAGGAGTTCCCTCTCTCTGGGGGTGATCCCCCACCATAAAAATTGTTGATATGCCTGATAATTTCGGGGATGAAGCGCAGAGACATCGTAGCTGTAGGATGGGCCGGGAGCAATGGACGCATCGAAACAGTGACTGTCTTATAACGACACGTGCCAAAAAATTTTAAAATCTGATCCTCCCCTGTTCTCTTCCTTCTATCTCCTCCTCTTTCTCTACTCTACTCTCTGTTCTCTTCCTTCTGTCTTCTCCTATTCTTTACTACTCCTGGCTCCTATTTCTTCAGTTCTCGTTTCTCCACTTACTTTCTTTCTTACTTCTCGTATTGCCTTCACTTATATTTCAATTTCTCTTATATTTCGTTGCAATTCATATATGCAACCCAAATTACACCTGATATTTTTATATTTGAGAAAAATGCCTTCTATACCTGAGATTCGATCCGTGCCTGCTAGCATGCCAGCAGGTGCACATCTCCACTCGACCACCGAGTGTTTTATCATTAATATTTGATTCTTCTATTTATGTTTTTATTTTATTCAACTTTTTAAAAACAACAACACAAGCCTTAGCTATGTTGCACGCACATAAACTTCATATGAAATTGGATTTAAGACGCATATCCTGAAAACGACAAAGAGGATATCACAAAGAAATATGAATAAGATTTTAATTTTAAATTGACTTTTATTAATTGTATTTAACAATACATTCTTCATTTTTTTTTAATAAAACGAACGTACGTACGATTCAAGTCATCCTACGTTCCATCAAGCCACAACGCTCTCTTATCAAACGTTACACACAAAGTAGAACTGTTAGTAGAATTGATGTTACTACTCACTGTATAATACTAACAACAATGCCACACGTAAAAAACGCGTGATTTATCCCCTCTAATTAACAATACCATTTTGGCCTATAAATCCCATTAGAATCCGTAGCCCAACGAAAGAGATCCGACAGCCGGCGGCTGATGGCTTAAGTCTCGAGGCGATTTGAGATAAATCACTTGTTCAATAGTTGATAGCAATCGATGACTAAACGATTCTAAGGCTCGCACGTAATTAAAGTCTCCCGAATTGCAACAGTCGCGATGAAGACCAACGGTGGAACAGAACACGTGCACACATCACAATTGCGTAGCACCGACGGACTAAATAGGGAAAAACAAAAGCCAATACGCCAGCGCTTAGATATTGCTCTCCTATTCTAACTCACCTGCTATCAGCTTACGAGTATCCTGGTATTTCTATCTCACTCGCTTGAACAAAAATTAATAAAACACAACCCATGTTATATATAATCCATAAACTATTCAAAATGACAAAATGTAAACAAACAGATACAAGTTATCGACATACCAACATACGAAACATACAATTGATGACGCGTTCATGTGCTAAACCCCGAAAACCAGCAAAAATCAGTGCTTCGAAACACAAAAAGTAAATTTTTCTCGCTAATACATTAGTTATTCATAAAAGTTATGTATGAAAATGATAAAGAAATTAAATACTTACAATCTGATGCGAGAATAGTCATTCTGAAATGTCAGACTCAGCTGCAATATCCCTAAAACAAGCAAAAATTAATCCTTCAAACATATAAATGTAATTATGGGGGCTAATTTGTGAGATAATCACAAAAGTTAATTAGGAAAATGGTAGTGAAATTAAATACTTACAATCTGATTCAAGAATGGTCTTTCTACGATGTCAGAGTCAGGTGCAAAATCCCTAAAATATGCTAAAATTTGACCTTCCAACATTGAACATAATAATGAAAACAATCTATGTATAATTACAATTTACAAGTACTGAACAAAGTTATCATGTCTTCATATAGTATTAACTATCACTTAACAAATTGTCTATAAATTACCACCTTGGCGGAGCATTTAGAATAATTTTACTGTTTAACTATTTAGCCCAATAACAAGTCTTGTACTGCCTTTAACAAGCGTAATAAGTTTATAATAATAGTTCTGCGCTGTCTTTTTTTCCCAAATTTAACCAATTTGGCTAAATTTGCGTTATTTTTTGGTCCAATTATATTAAAAGCAGAAAGGTTTGAAGGTGTCCATTTTTCTTCTTCACCCGGACTTCGGGGCTCTGTGAATCGCAAAATGTAAGTTGTTGATGCTGCGTCCAAATCCATGGAATTCCCCAGTAAAAAGGTAAATCTAAAAATCCGAGTTTTAAAATGCAATTCTTAAATTTCTAGTTTTTTGAGCTTGAGCTTTGAGTTACTACATTAATTTAATAAAAACAAATGTAAAACTTTATATACTTATGTTTAATGTATTACCTATATTTTTTATGTATAATTGTGTCGATGGTGTCAACCTCCCGAGGCTTACTTAACACACATGTTGTTTGTAAAGCGTACTTTACACTTTATAAAACACGTTAATATGCCAGTAAACTTATACTTATTTCCATTTCAGTACTACAGTGATACATTTATAACACTACACATTGTAAAATTGAAATAAATAATTATATAAGTTATAACGTTATTTTAATAAAAGCAAATGTAAAACTTTATATATTTACCTATGTTTTATGTATTATATTTTATGTATAATTGTATCGATTGTGTCAACCTACCGAGGCTTAGTTAACACACATGTTGTTTGTAAAGCGTACTTTACACTATAAAATACGTTAAAATGTCAGTAAACTTATACTTATTTCCATTTCTGTGTTACTGGGTTTTAAATTGCAACACTACCCCGTGCAAAATAAAAATAAATAAATTATACCTCTTGGCCAGTCAAAATTTGATAGAATCATTGAAATCGTTGAAGATGTTTCTTGCTCTACCGGGAATTACCATTTTCTATTGAATCCTTCTGGAAGAGACCTGCAGTTCACACCTGGTCCAAGATATCCGTAAGGTCGCGTTAAAACGTTAAACCTAAAAAAGAACATTTATAAGCTAGCAACCAAAGGATTAAACGTTATGAAAATTTTGAAAATTCTTTATAAGATAAGACAAAAGCCTAATTAAATTTCAAGGTGTAAAAGTTCAGAAATCGCATTCAAATTAAGAATTTAATGACTATACAAAACAAAACCACAAAAAATCTTAGCCGACGGGAAATACCTACGTATTTTGCAATTCCGGACGCACGATATTTCAATAACTATACGCCGCACTTGTCTGGTAATTCTAAATCTTTTCTTTGCTGACCGTTTCTAATTCAACTACGGACCTAAAATCACAAGAAATGCGATAATGCACCACGCCGCAGCACACGATCGATATGTCCGATATGTCCGCGAATGTTTAATGAATATAAATTCACTTAATTATAATCGGAAGATACAGAATTGATCGCAATGAACACACGCTATTCATCCGATAACTGAAATGGAACTGGATGTGCACGGCACTGCACACAGCCAACGGCAACAACACGCGGTCACTATCAATTTTGCAACAAAAAAATTGTTTACTTACAAATATTTTACGTATCTAAACTATAAATGCATAGCATTGCCAATTTTAACATTACTAAAGTACTTGGTAAAACTTTTACGGCACAATAAGAGAAAATCTTACAACCACTATTATTCGAAAATAAACAAAATTTGCGACACTTCTCGGCACTCGTGGTTAATGGAATGTAATCCATTTGATTAATTAACTCTTCTTCAATGATTAAAAAAACTTAAAATCGAGCCATGGAAACACGAAATAGAAACCGTTTTCCACCATAAGTTTTCAAAAATGACAAAAATTGCAATTTCCTGACACTTTTCAACCCTAGAATGCAACAAAATATAGTCAATTCAATTAACAATTCTTTTTCTATAATTCGAAGGAAACAGAATTAAAATCCAGGCAAGAAAACGGTAGGTACAAACAGTTTTCCAGCACAAATTAATGAGCGAGCGCCATCTAATTGTGATAGTCCGAAATGCTTAATAACGAGAATATTAAGGTGCGATACTAGCGCCTCCTAGTGCCGCATGTCTCAACAACCTAGTTATCTTTAAAGCAGGAAATTGTAATGCAGCTATCAAAATACGGAAACACCAATTGTGAACTAGTTCCTAGTTACAACCGCGGCAATTCTTCTAACTACAGCCGCAAAATAACAATACACAAGAGACATATTCACATATATTATTTATGAATATGATTCAGACTTTCAATACTCACAATATGATGTACCAGTATGTACTAAAGTGGTGTGAAGTAACGTTTAATTGCTAGGTCCCTAAAACAATCAAAAATTAGTTCACGATTGTGCAAAAATTGTATCTTTGTGTTAATAAGAAATATTAATAATATATTTAAATTCACGTAATTCAGAAACTCTATCCATGCTGTCCATTTTAGATTAATATTTGGCGAGTTATTTATAGGTATATTTGTCACAACAGAATTTCCAATTGCTCACCGTTGCCTTATTTTATCACCAAATTCGAAAAAAATACAGTACTCAAAAAGTAACCTTATCACATGAGTTACTAAGCTAATTAATTCCAATTAGATATATATTGCGCCGTCAAACTCAAAACATTTCAGTTGTGTCTGACGATTTGAACCAAACAATACTAGGATCATGAGGGCAAATATTTTGTTCACTGTAACCTTGTGCGTAGCAGTAAGTTAAAAATTTACAACTAATACAAATTTTGAACTATAATTATGTTACTTCTACATAGAGCTCGATTGCGTTGCCCACTTCAAATGTGAAGCCAATTAGAAACTTTGGCAACTGCTTCGAAATTTTGGCAAACTCTATTGCTGAAGAGTTCGAGATCAATAAAAAAATTGTTGAAGAATGTGCAACAGAAAACTGCCTGGAACAGATCAAAGTTATCGAACGAGAAACGAGAGGCTTAATATCTACGTACTTATATGGTATATCATTGCATACTGATTGCCTCCCAGGATGCAACGGAAATAAAGAATGCGAAGAGAGCTGTGTTGCCACCTATGACAATCTACTGCAAGGATGTGTGATAAACCTCAACGTAATGATCAACACGAATCTCGGTAAAATGCTGGACACATGCCCTAAAGTAAGCGAATGCGCTCGTTCCGCTTACGATATATTTGTCAATAAGAAGATAATTGCTGCACGTAGAGAATTTGTCAGTTGTTTATCAGTTTAATTTGTTTCTTTTTTTGATTAAAAAATCAATAAATATATGGAAATAAATAAAATAATACTATATGAACCTTAATATAAGTAAAAGAAGTCTTGTCCTACATCCTTTCAGGATTTTAGTCAAAATAGAAATAAATAAAATAAGGAAATGTAAGTAAATAGGGAATTTATATACACACCTGTAAATATTTCCTAATCCCCGAAAATGTCGAATCGGAAACGACTAGACTTCGACGACTCGGCCAAATTCTAGAATACAAAAACACATATTAAGCACAAACTTAACAGAAATGTTGTTACAGTAATAGATATTCATTCATATACCTACTTTTTGATGCAAACACTGCCGACTTCATTACAATTCTGTTTTGTATAGGCAAAATCATTTTATTTCAGCCTATAGTGATAAGTGTACTTTACAAATATAATATTGGAATGCATAATTAATATTATTCCTAAGTAGTAGCAAACAAATATAAAAGTGCCTTTCCAAACTGAAATATCTCAGACCCACCCAATTTGGATTCACCATAAACTCTATCAACAAATGTGATTGGGACTTCCCCAATAGTGTAATTAAGTAATTAATTAGTGTAAATAATCATCTCCATTTGAAAAACGTAACCTTTGGATACACAATTATCAATTAACTTTTGAAAAACATCTTTTTTGTACAAACAAAATGAACCTGTCAGGTCACTGGCACCTGGTCTCAATAATAATTGAGTGAGGAAGTTAGCACCTCTGGATACTAACTTCCTCTTAAAGTCCCAACCATAAACACCACCATCTCCCACATATCTTGTTCCAGAAACAAGATCACAGTTGTTTTTTTGTTGTAATTCTATAAATTGTGGAATAGCTTTGGGCTAAAATTTCAAATGGTGTTTTTGTTGGACATATAAATTTAAATTTTCTTAAAATTTAATTGTTGACCAGGTGTCCCAGGTAGGGCCAGGCAAACACAGGTAAATCTACCTCTCAATTGGATATAAATGAAATATAAAAATTTCATGATGCATCAAACACGTCATGAAATGGGTGTTACTAGCTCTTGGACTATGTGGACGTTCTCTCTTATTCGAATGAACAACATACGAAGGTAGCGATAGAAGTGACTTTTATTCAGGGTACTGTAGGAGGGTAGCGGTAGAAGTGATTTTTATTCGGGGCACCGTAGGAGGGTAGCGGTAGAAGTGACTTTTATTCAGGGTACTGTACGAGGGTAGCGGTAGAAGTGACTTTATTCAGGGCACCGTACGAGGGTAGTGGTACAAGTGACTTTATTCAGGGCCCCGTACAAGGGTAGCGGTAGAAGTGACTCTCATTCAGGGCACTTATCACTGTAGCCTCTTTTTGCATGGTTGAAAACTGAGATAGAGATGGCTGTATCTTGCACTTAAACTAAAGTTGTAAATGTGAAAATATTCCAATTCAATTTGTTGAAATTATTTTTAATTTTCTCTTAGTTCATCAAACAAAAATCATTATTAATAAATTTATTTAGTTCTAAGTAATTTTTACAATAGACAACTACCATCCTTGCCCCCATTTTATATCATTGAATGTCCAATGTTATTGTAAGCATAGAAACATGTGAATCTAGAAAGCATCAATGCGCGGTGATTCGGCGTAATGCTCTTTGCGTTCTCCCTTGAAGTACTGCTTATGTCTTTCCATTCTCATAGCCATTGCACGATCCCTTTGCTTGGTCCTGCTCTGACATTCTTTGAAATCCTGGATCAAAGTATCACATTCCCTCATGCCTTTATCAAGACCATAGGCCTCAAAACACTCCATCACCTTCAGTTCAAAATCGGCACAACGACCGTACCACTGGTGGCTGACCAATTGGGCAGTGAGGTCGGAAAAGGGTGAACGAAACCACGGGCATACAGACATTTTATCTAAAAAATAAATTGAATTTCTTGATTTTTAGGTTAGGCTTGTGACATAACAAGTCACAACAATTTAAAGTTTAATGCAAAATTGCATATTTCAGTATTACTTCCCGCCAAAATGTACGATATGCAGCCCTTTTAAGGTCCAATAAGTTGAAATTGTAATAATACGCACCTAATAATCTTAAATTTGAGCTGTTTATGAGGAATTTTCAGGCCAATGTTTACGACGTATCGATTGATGTCGTTCGTGTATGTATGGTTGCCAACGATACATATGAAAGTTGTACTGATTTAAATGTATAAAGTTTGCCATGGAATAAAAACAAAATTATAGATATTAATAAAATAAACGTCAAATTTTCTATGAAGCTATAGTAAATTTTAGTAAATTTCTCCCAAAAATGGAGCACATCGAGGACGACCAGCAAAAGGTGAAGAGGCCAAGCACACCAGATGAACCTAATGAAAACGCTCCTTTCGGTCATCAAGGATACGAAGAGTCTGAAAATCCGATCGGCGAAGGCCCACAAATCGAAGAGGAAACCCTTCAAGCACAGGATGAAGATGAACCATACGAGGGAGGTTCCTGGGCGCCGAAGGTATCTTGATGGACGATATCATCCTTGATGATGAACCCATCGATCAAGACGAGGATGAATTACCAACACCAGGGATGTCACTACCCTGCGAAAGCAAAGTTGACGGAAATCTCTTCGTTCAACGACTGCGGAATTTTGTCCAGAATCCAAACATCTGGCGCATTATAAAAGGCCTCCTTGTGGTCGTTATCGCGATTAAACTGTTCAATTCATACGAAATAATTGAACCGTATGTTCCTAAGATATTTGGATCAAAACTAGAATAGGGAGCAGGCAAATCTATTTAGGAAAATGAATGTATTTGTTTTTAATTGAACAATGACAAATAAAATGTTCTTTTTGATCTGACAAATGAATATTTATAAATTAAACTAAAATTAATTTGTAGCAGCAAGTTTCGTTACCTCTTTTGTTTCTTCTGAACTATCTTCTGACTCTGAAGCTGAGTTATCATCACTACTTGAAATATCTATGTCATCATCCAGCCTAAAGTTAAAAAGTAAAATTATTATAGAATTATTTATTTTTCTTAAAGGTTGTATTTTAATTACCACATGGCAACTTTCCTCTTCTTTTTCTTTACTTCATCACCTTTAGTATCAGATTTTCTTTTACTTGAAGTTGAAGCACTTGCAGAAGCTGCAGCTTCCATTCCTTGAGTAACAGCATCTTCTAATCTCTCAGGCAATTCAGACCTTTCTTTGTCATAAGTGTCATCCTTAAATTCAACCTTTGGTTTCTGTACCAATCTCTCTAACTTTTTCTGTTTTTTATCTTCAGCCTCTTGCTCCCTAGTTGCTTGTTTATCAATCCATGCTTTTAAGCTAAAGATGAATTCTTTTAGATTTATTTTAAACAATAATTCATACTAGAATTAATTACCGTTTTTCTTCATTAATATCTCTAAGTCTTCTTCCACTTAAATCTCTGCAGGCTTCCCTATTTGTAGTTTTCTCAATTTGTGCACCAATTGCTCTTAGCATTGAACCAAAACCACCTTTCCCACCCACAAGTTTTGGTACCACATGCACAATTCCATCAGGAACACCATCATCATTAAAATGTTTACCATTATGTATCAAATAAAAATCTTCATGTTGAATCTAATCAAATAAATACAATGTTAGGGCAGATACAAAATTGTTTTTGGTACTTACTTTGTTGGTGATATTTGTCTTTACTTCTGCTATAGACAATACATTTTCTAGGAATAAAATTGACTTATTATTGTATTTAATTTCCAACATTTTTAAGCAATTCTCGATAAAATATGAAGAAAACAAGCAGTTACTTATGGTCAAACGCAGTTTTAGGTTGTGTTATGTTGTGTAATTCTAAAAATCTGCGTCAAGCGTCGCTGTGATCGCAGTCCGTGTTCGATTCATCGAACCCGTGTGCAGTTCGAGATTACATACATCGTGATTTTATTGCACTTGGCAAGTGCAACAATTATACTGCACACATTGTTTATCAACACTATAATGGCCACCAACACCCGTCAGGTTTTGAGTCTTTACAAAGCAATGCTACGAGAATCACAGAAATTTTCATCATATAATTTCCGGTGAGCGAAAATTGTAACCTTACATTTCTTGGGTTCAAAAATTATTCAACTTCTTCTAAACTTTTAATTAAATACACAATAAATATTGCCCAACTAACTTTTCAAGATTTCCATCAATTTAACAAGTTGTTTTTTCTTCCAGTAATTATGCCCTTAGGAAAATTCAAGACTCATTTAGAATTAACAAAGAAATACAAGATCCAAAAATAATTGCAGAGAAAATAAAAGAAGCAAAACACAACCTGGAGATTATCAAAAGACAAGTAATAATGATATATAACAATTATAATTTAATACTAAATGTAAATAAAATGTTTCAGGTCATTGTTGGACAAATGTATGCAACTGATAAGCTAGTCATTGAACACACAAACAGATAAGGCTTTAAGAAAATACAAATTGTTAATATCAACTCCAATATAATAGTTTACGATTTGTTAATTAACGCGCTGGATTCTCGTTGTTTTCTTTCAAGAATCGCGTTGAATGAACTTACTTTCTAAGCACTTCTATGTTTCTCACAATCCCCTTGCCATAGATATAGAAATCTTCCTCACTGATGTCAGACTCCAATTTATTTTGCGCCGAGAGTTTCCGACCATGTGCCGTAGAAATCTGAGTTTAAAATATGTATTTTTGTAAATATAGTGGTTTGTAAGTTATAATTTGTATCACCTTAAAATCCTGTTGTTTTTGAATAGTTTGCTTCCACAGAACACCGATTACGACTCCACCATAGAAATCGCGAAAGAATAATGCATATTCTCCAAAATTCTCCTGGAAAAAACTCGTTTTAAAAATGATTGGGGTATTTTAATCCGTCTATACTTTACCCGTAATTCCTTGAGGTACAATTCAATCGGATCGAAACCCACAACCGGCATACACTTCGTAATAGATTCATCGAACTCTTCTAACTTTACGATAAAATTTTGATCTCTGTTGACTTGTTGATAGCGTCGCAGGTTAGTCGAGGCATTCAAGTGAATTAAAACATCATAACCGGTCAAATTTGGGACGAAACACGCCTGTGAAATCATTTTTTTTTAAATTTATGTCTTCCAAGGTATAAAAACATACCTTATATGAAAGTTGGCAATCCTCTGCCAAATTATCGATCAGCAATTTGTAACTTTCGGCAGCCAAGCACTTTATCCTTCTCAGGACAACCGCCGACGGTCCACATTTCGTAAATAAGGATTTACCCTCATCAAACGGCGTAATTATATGTAACGGATTGTAACTCAGACGATCTTGCAGAAATTTACTATCGATTTCATTCAGCTCTTCAATACTCAACGAATCATTGAAATTCACGGCGACAGTTTGAAAGTTGTGATCAAATGTAGACATAAACTTTAGGAATCTTAAAAACGCTACTTGAGGCAATATCGCAGGCTTGTAAGGCGCTGAAGTGATAAACAAGGACGCGTTTAAAAGATTAATAACAACATCACTGATATGATCTGCGTCTAACATTTGCGAACGCATCCATCGCTTGATAAGACACGTCGACGGTCCATAACTTGGATTTGCTTGATGCAGACCGTTGAGAGCACCGGAAATTTTCGGTAAGATCTCTAGATTTCGTTCAAGGCGTAAACTTTCGTCAGTGTCTTTATAGAATGTTAAACCGTCAGCGGTTACATCTTTCTTCAGCAGTGCAATTTCTTTCGGATGATGCAAACGCAGGCGGAAAACATATCCTTGATAAAATAGATCTATGTGGTCGTCGCGGACAGAGGTGATGACGTCGTGCTCAAGGCGGAGAAGTTTGGAAATTTCAAAGTAATAAATGGTTTTCATTGCTCGCATAGCTTCCAGGGTTTTCGGCCATTTTGAATTTAAGGCTAAGAATACACAAGCAGTTAAATAAACCATTATAAATCATAAAACAAAAACTTACCAAGCTGTAATACACATTCAATTGGCTCAAACAAATGCGGTAATTTGTTTGGCTTCTCATTCATTACAACAAAGTCACCGCGTTCGCTACAATTCGTTTTCTTCAAATTGTAGTTAGTAGGAATGGGTGGAAACAACTCAGTGTAACTATAAATAGAGTATTTATAGTTGAATATATTAAATAAAATTTGAATAAACGTATGTTTATACCTGTATAAGTCAGATGTGCATTGGCACGCTGTTATAGGAAGTGGTAGCTGTAAATTTCGTAAAATTTTATCCAAAGAGGTTTGTACACCTTTAATTCTTATAATAGCTTCCTCATTTGAACCGGTAGGAAATGGATTTTCAATGTGTTCAAGTTTCAATTGTTTTTCCATTTCAACACCGTTCAACTCGTAACTCAACTCTAATTTGTTTCGCATCACGAATTCAATGATTTTCGCGAATATTAAACGTTTATCTTGAATTGTTTTCACATCATCAAAATAAACTGCTTCATAAATTGAAGAATCTTTAAATCTGTAAATAAATTTCAAAATTAAATATTAATTGTGAATATATTTTAAATATTACCTTCGAAGATCTGCTAAATTGCCCCAAAAATCTTTGAACTTCTCTGCACCTTCTTCATATTGTCGTGGACCTTTCTCAATAACATTATAACAATATTCCGGGTTCAAATTTAAGCCATACGTGATTACGTTTGGATTTTCAGTAAAAATTGGTACTAATTCGTGAATTCTCTTGGTTAAACCATATTTCAACTGATTTTCAATGCAGTTTTGGATTAAACACTTATAAAAACCAAAGAATTTGAACTTGTCTTCATTGCTACTATTCCAATAGATCTTTTTAAATTGATTTATATCAATTATTCTATAAAATTGTAATCAAATTAAATACTGCAGGTAATTAATAACATAAACTTACTTAAGAATTGCATCGTACTGTAAACCAACAGGCATTTTGGTTGTGAACAAGTGCGAGAAAGAATTAAACCGATTGCTATCCAAGCTCTCTATCGCCTTTTTAGCTTCGGCCTTGACTTTCATGTAAACATTTCCATCTAAAAACGCGCCTACGTTAAAACAACCAGTGCTATCTAGCAAAACAAATTCGCCCTCGAACAAAAGCAAATTATTCGGTTTAACATCTACAGCAATCGACAACTTTTCATCATCTTTCAAATTCGCAATAAACGACCAGAAAATTCGTACAACTTGATACGAACTCATCAACTTATTCACTTTCTTCTTTGAAAACAAATACGCGAGTATATATACTACTAAATCATCAGTGAAACAACGATAATCACTGTTCAAATCTCTTTGCCTCAGCCAAATTACAATCAACTTAATCGCGTCTGTAATATTTTCGTGGGAATTTAAACATTTGATAAACGATTCATTCGTTTCTAATGTACAATCAAATAACATAATAGAATTATAAAAGAAAGTTCCCACTTCAGAAAAACTTTCTATTTCAAAGTCCGGAAAATCATCATATGATAATTGTTTCAAATTATTTTTGTTTGGCATGAACCTTATTGGTTTGAATGTATCAATTTCAGGCACAATGAAAATATTAATCAACATTTGATCACACTCTGCAGGCACAACTTCCAAATATGGCAAATGATTGTTATGTAAATAGTTTGCAACTTTAATCTGTTTAATGCAATCAAAGTTCTTGATGTAATTTTCAATGTAAGCCATATAAAATTGTTTCTTTAGTGCATACTTGTTATTAAGATAATCTTTCTCAAAGAACATAGATTTGTTCATGGTAATCATTAAATTGGCAATAAATTTAGTCTTTTCGCTTGGAATATTTTTGAGTGAACCATGCAAAACCATACTTTTGGGCTTCATAAATTTCATACTAACATCCTGACTACATGGAACTTTGTCCAAACTAGCTGCATAATTAATAAACTTCTGTTTTTCATCAAGTTTCTTTTTCTTTGATATTTGCAAATTATTCAAGTTAATTTCAGTAAATTCCGGAATGTTTAGTAACTTTTTCTGAAACTCTGTGAACCAAAGATCAAATTGTGTTTGATATTTTGGTTTCAATTTAATTTCCTCTAATAATTCGTTTATTTGAAGTCTAAATATATTTGAGTTGAATAAGTTTTCAGTCTCACGCAACTTGTTCATTTCCTCAGCTGTTGGTTGTTTGTACAGCTCACTCTTTGATTTTTTGATTGTTTTTGAATCATTGTCTCCATCGTGAGGCCTTTTATTGTGGATAATTTCTGGCTCCGAATCAGAATCTTCGGATGAATTTTCCGAATCTTGGTTGAATTCATAATCCTTAAATATGCAGGTTATAAATATAAATGGTTTAATATGGTTTTAAAATATAACTTGATTTACCTCGGGTTTAAATTCAACCATTTTACACGTTGTTTCGAGACTTGTTATCACTTTAATTAAACAATTTGGATTTCAAAACCGATGCCAACCAAACATTACAAACACGTGTTTTCTTTTAAGATTTTGTCAACACATGTTGCAGTTGTATGCAATGCTCGAAAGGTGGCGCAGACATCGCGCACTACAATATTCCTTTCTAAACTCAGAATTTCAGAATTGATATAATCACAAGTCTCAAAATCAAACTACTCTTTATTGAGTTATAAATTTGTAACGAAATGTGTAAATATTTTGAAAGAAATGCTTTTATTCTAAGCCCCCCTTCTCTTTCTGAAAACGTTCCCAGGCTTGTGATGTTCAATATCAGCCTGAATTTCTTCAAAAGTTTTTTGATTTGTCTCCACAACCACCAGAAGCAAATAAAATATTCCCAAAAAGCAAATCGTTCCAAAACCATAGAAAATGTATGCCGGATTTATACTAGCCATCATAACTGGCATGACCCAAGAGGTGCCAAACGCTAACATCCAGTTAACAAACGCAATAATCGTACTCATCACAGTTTTCACACTGCTGGGCAGATACTCTCCAAACATAAGCCACGGCAATGGTCCGGCTCCCAGCGAAAAGCCCATAATATACACCACAAGAGCAATCGTTGGGATCATGGCTAAAGTTTCCTGTGTTTCTTTGTCCACCATAAAATAAAACCCGGTCAGCACAAGACAAAGGCACATTATACCCACGGAAATGGCGAATAGCATTATCCTTCCGGCACGATCGACACAAGCAGCAGCGACTAGGCAAAGCAATACTTGGGCTATTCCAACAATGATAACCGAAAGATCTTCACTGATGTTAGTGTTTGAAGCGCTAAAGATTGCATGCGCATGGTACAAAATTGCGTTGATTCCACTTAATTGTTGTAACATGTGTAATCCTAGCAAAACCCCGAACGCTTTTAAATTAACAGGTTGTTTAAAACCTTCTTTCACAGATTCTTTTGATTCAATGGCCGCCTGCATTTCAGCCTGTTCTTTGCTGTAATCAAATTCCTTGCCACGCAGTTTCTTCATCACTTTCTCATACTTCTCAAGTTTGTTACGCTTCAACAAAGCGTAAGGTGATTCTGGTATGAATAAAATCATCAAAATAATTGCTAAAACGCACCCTGCCCCGCACGTGACATTTAGAATGATCATGTTCTTGGCAATACCCGCAATGTACGCAACTAAAATTCCAAGTGTAATGAACAACTGAAAAAAGACACCGATAGTTCCTCGATGACTCTTGTGTGTTGATTCACCAAGATACATGGGGCACGCAACACAGAAAGCGCCTGCAATTCCACAAACCAAGCGCCCCGTGATCTGCACCCAGAAATTCATACTCAGCGTCAAGGGAATCCATCCGCAGATGAGTATGACATGTGTCACAACGATGCACCATTTCAGACCTAAACATTTAACGAGTACCACAACGAGAAGTTGCGAGAGCGCTGCACCAAGCGCAAAAAGACTGGAAATCCAGGCAAATTCTCCATCCGTAATTCCACCCTCTTTTTTTAAAATGCCATTAGCCGGCGAAGACCAACCGATTGCTGTTCCTGCCACAAAACCACCGAGGCAAACTAGAAATTCAAAAAAGTATTCATAAACTGTATGAAAACTGTAATTGCATTTATTAATTACTTATGACTCCAACGATGTATTGAAAGAAAATTTTCAGGTTTTTAGTTTCTTCTTTAGCCTTCGCTTTCGCTTCTGCTTTTTCCCTTTTCTTGGCTTCCTTGGCGTCCGCCATTATTGTAAAAAATTGAAAAAAATAAAAATCAAAAATATATAATTCGCTTGTTACATTTGAATTGAAGCACGTCAATTGTTTTTAAATCCTTAGATACACAAATCTCGTTACCTACTTTGTTTAACAGAAAATAAATAAAACTTTCCGCTGGCTAAAAAGTTTATAATAAAAGTTTACCTTTTTAAATTAAGGTGTTTCCGGGGACAAACGAAAGAATTCTCCTCGTCATCTTGCGCCATTGAAATTCGACAACCTATATAATAAATTATTTATTATAACTGCATATAATAATCATATCAGTACCAAACGATTCAATCATAAACCAAACAATAGTAATAATAGTAATTTTAATGGAAAGAACATAAATCATCGTGCCGTTAAATATATCGGCGCAAACCTTCGCCACGAGACATTACCGTCGATTGGTTTCGCACTGCAAAATTGTTCGCTTGGGAAATGACCGGAAATCATAAGAATCTTGTACAAATTTTAAAAACAAATAGCACCGCTGATTTCAATTACGACGCGGGCGCCTGTTGTTGGTCTTGTGGTTCTTCAAACTTTTGCAAACGGCGCCGCCGTAGCATGGACTCAGCAGTTGCATTCTCATCATCTGCAGCTGGCGCGCTTGAACTGGTCGACGGCATCGCGCCGAGCTTGTCTACATCATTTTGTCACTCGCAGGTGGAAAACTGTTAGTTGTTGTACTGCCACTGGCAGTGCCAGCTTCGCTGGTGCTGGTGTTGGTATTGTTGGAATCACCGGCAGCCCCGCCGCGTTTTCAGTCGTCGACGCCGGTGAATTATCGGCGGTCGCATTTGGCATCGATAGGAAATGGCTGCGGCTGTATTGTACTGTTGCATCATTAATACAGCAGCATCCAACATAAGCTAGAATCAAATTATTTTTATTAAGAATCTGAATGTTAAGTTGCTGATTGTGATTAAAGTACCTGAACATTTCTCAACCATTGAATTCTCGCCTCAACATGTTCTCCTCGTTACCCTCCATACGCCGCAACTGCTCTAATGAAATCGAAAACAAATTCGGCGGCGGCATCGGCGGTGGCGTCATGAAACCCATCGGCGGGAAGGGGAAGAAAGGTGGAATGTTCGGTGCGCCATCAGCACCAGTCTGTGCCGCACCAGCATTGGTGGCATAAAGGCGGGACATTTGGCATCCTCGGCGCATGTTGCTGCTGCGCTTGTCCGGGTTGTGGTACATTACCAGCAACACCAGCTTGAGGACCTCCTTGCGCCTGTCCATTTAAGACATTCCTCAAATTATTGTTGAGCATCATGAAGGGATTGGGCATATTAAACGCCACATTAGGCATGTTAGGTGGCTGCGGCATTTGTGGCCTAGCTTGTCTATTTTCCGCAGCTGCGGGTGTGGGAGTAGGAGCAGGCGTCCGCAGAATATTCAACCTGCATGTGGGACATGTCTGCTGGCGCTGGAACCACGAGCGCAGGCACGCCGCGTGAAATATATGATTGCATGGTAGTTTTTTCGCAGCGGTGGTCATTTCCTCGCGACAAATAATACAGACATTGTCGCCTGCGGTGAGTTCTTCAAGCGTCGCATCTGGGTACAATGTGTTCATGTTGTGAATAGCGCGACGTGATAGTATCACGTCGTTGAATGCTTTTTTAAAGTTTCGCAGCGTGTAATACATAGGTCGCAGCGCAAATAGAGGCAGCGTGTAGATGCGTATCATGATAATAACGAATGCAGCGTACAGAATCACCTTGATTAGACCCATAATCAATTCGGTGTAAAGCAGAAATACTGCTTTGTTGTCCCAGGGAGTTTCACTGTTCAAATCGAACGAGTATAGTGAGTATTTGATGGAGATGTTAATCGCCATCGTGATGAGAATCGCGTACTCAAAACCGAAGACTAGTTGAACAGATGCGCCTTTTGAAACTGTTGACTGATATGCATGTCCAACAAAATACACATCAAGCATGCCCAACACCAGCAAGAGACCTAAAACTCTAATGTGGAAAAGCATACTTATGATTGGACTTCTTTCCATCTGAAAGTAAAATAATTAATGTTAATTTGTCTCAGGTTTAAAACAAATTGTTTAACTTACAAAGTCAACTCTATCTTCAGCCAACCAATGGAACGATTTCAAAAACAGAAGTAACGTAAATAACGCGACGAATTTTGGATTGAAGTCATCCCTAAACACTGTGAATGCCAGACATGTCTCAGTAATAGCATACCATGACCTCTCCATCAAGTGCTCAAACTCCGACGTCCGTAACTCGCCGAAAAATACCTTTCGCATAATTTTGCCCATCAAGAATACACATATGAATGCTTGAATGTAAATAACCTAGAATACATTAACATTTATGCACTTGCAAACAATCATATTAATTTTAAAATGATACTCACAGCCATGCTAGGATTAGATTTAGTTATGTACACCACTGAGGGATAGAATTGTTTCTTTTGATAGTAGGCATTCGCCACCACCAAGGTGGTAAGCGCTACGCTTATCACCGATATGCCGAGAGATCGCATCTCGCTGTGTGTTTGTTGTGGTCCTATATCCTACGTATTTGGGCTCGATGACGAGTGAGTTGGGCACTAATTACCAGCATACACAGCACATTTTCTCGCTCGACACAACCGCTATTATTAATTCATTACGATATCGGCAATCGGAGTGTTTCTTGTTCGTGGCGCGCGATATATCGACTGTATTAATCCACGATTCATATGTTTTTGACGAGTCGAGTGCGTTGGTGGAGTTGGAGACTGACAGTTTTGCGTAACTCTGGCTGGCAGTTGTGGGAGTTTTGGCTCGTTTTGGTTGGCGTTGACGATTTCAACGACAGCACTGTTGAAAATCGGTTTTGCGCAAGTGTACGTGCGATTTCTAATTGCGTAAAATAGAAACGTACGACATTTTAAATTGGTATCAATTCGTTAAACACATTTTATTAGTAATTATAATTTGCTAAAATAGCCTGAAACCGTTTAAAAACTGTACCTTTACGAGCAGTTTCTTTAAGTTGAGTCAATTTTCAACTTGAATGTGTTGTAGATAAGGCAAAAAATTAACGTGGAACAATGTCATTGGCCGCGTTAATAACACGATAATAAATTTAATAAAGTGCATGTAGGTATATTGCTTACTTTAATTTAACTTGACAACACGTTCAAATGTAAGCTTTTCAAATAAACGTAGACCGGCATTTTCAAGATTATTACTATATAAATGTTGTATTTTACACAAAAATCGTTAAAAACAATTTCGGAGGTATGCAATTCATAGCTAAATAAAAGTGCACATATTTACATGAGTCACAAACATATAAATTTAATATTTGTGTAATTTGTAACAGAATTGTGCAAAAACTGACAAAACTAGAATAAAATACACTCTCCATTTTATTATAAGAGTCAATAGAAAATATAAGTCACATTTTAAAATCGGAAAACACAAGACATCCATCAAAAGGCACATAATAGATTCACGATTAATATCAGATCATTTTCGAAATTAATTTTCTTGTATGTACAACATATCTATAAAAAATACTTACTCCAACATAAGTCGCGACACTTTCATAGGTGTCTGTCTAATTTCTACTGTCGACATCGGCGTCTTACACAACTTACGGGGCGATTTCAAATGCAAACTTCTCTTGATATGTGGCATCGGTTTTGGTGTAGTCTCTATATCTCGATTCGCTTCACGCAAAATAGAGTTTCGTTCTGCTTCACGAGATGATGACTTAGGCAAGCGATGAATTCCCGGGCTTTTGCATGGTCTTTTCCTTGGTGACATACTCTTTTTACGCCGTTCCTCCATTTTCAACGTCCTTATTCGATTTAATTGTGTTCTCGGTGCGCCAATCTTTGCTGCGCGCGGTTGGGAAACGTAATTTTCTTGAGATTCAGTCGAATCGCCTAGATTATCGAAAAGTCTTGCTTTTGCCATAACCATTCCGGCATTTTGACTTCTCAAACGTGCTAAGGATGCGCGACAGTTGTTATCTAACACTGGATGTGGTACATCTGGTGTGCTAAAGAAACCTTGCGCGCTCTTCCAGCTGGATCCCGAAGAATCAGTCACAATCGAACTACCTAAAGACATTTCTGATCTTGTAGACATAGAGCTATTAGTGCTCCTTGGAGGCGCAGGTGATGGCATAAGAATATTCTCATTATTCGAACAATTTTGTGATTCTGAACATTGAGTTGTTTTAGCGCGTCTCATGCTGCTCCTAGAGTTTTTAGGTGATGTTGCAGTCGTAGCACACCAAGTTTGCGTTCGACTGAGACGTACTTTTTGGCCCTCTTTGCGACGGAGACTACCAATTTTCCTAGCGCTTGGTGAACGAAAAACTGGGCGACTTTCACCCGAACGTCGGATTTTTAATTCTCGGCTGAGCCGTTTCGCCAATTGATCTGTGGTTGAACACATCGGTTCAGCCTGAACTAATGTTTCAACATACTTTTTGTTCACTTCCTGCACGGCAGACTCGGAAGAAGGAATAGGATCGACATCAAGGGACCTGGGAACGCTTTCAAGTTCAATAGAAATTCGACGTTCAATTGCCGAAACGCGATTTTTTATATCTTCGTATTCAGCCTTCGGAACGCGCATATAATCAGATTCTACTGGTTCGGATCGTTGAAATTCCAACTCTTCAGTCAAGTCGTTGATTTCATTATCAATGTGAGCGTCGTCATGTAAAATTTTCGGTTTGTCGGCTGTCATTGTTCCAATGCAAGAATTTCGGGTTTTCTTCTTTTTGAAGCCAGCGACCGAACTCATCGCAGACCAGCGTCTTTGTATTGAACTTGTGCTCGAACTCGACGTTACATCAGACTTTTTATTTTTGGTTTTGTTGGTAGACCACAAAATTCGTTTTTCTTTTGCACTATAACTATTCAAGAATTTATAATTATTATTCATATAAGAAAATTATAAGTAAATATACCTTTCGATTTTAGTTGTTTTTGAATTATCTGTTTTTTTCTTTCCACTGCAAAATAAATGGTTCTCTTGAGATTTCCCAGCTTCACAAGAAACTTGAATGTAACTTACTTTGGATGATTATTCACCGGTGTACTTGAAGGCGTAAAAGGTACATTTAGAAGAGTACTCTGTGGCAATTTGTCTCGAACTTCCTGTCGTCTCTTGGCCGATATTCCTACAGCTTCCATTTTCCTCTTTTTTGCTGAACGCGTTAAACAGGGCGTCATTAAGAGATCGGGTGCGGCCTGTATTGGCGGCGGGTCTTCATTTTTATTATGCGTTACAATCCTTTTCAAACCGCCAAAAATCCGTGTCAGACTTCCGCTGCGACGCTTCTTCTTTTTCTTCACGCTTGATGTTTCTTCGTCCATCATTGACACGTTGCTGCTTTGTGCAATTCGTTCAATTATGCTATCATTTAACACGCCAATGCTTGATGCGTGTTCAATTAACAACTAAAAACAAAAATTTCATTGCAATTAAATAGATTTATGAAAGAATTTGTTTTTCTACACACCTTAAAAAGTTCACAAGTTTTATTCATTCTCAAAGTAGCATTATTAGGTATTTTCTCTTCAGCTGGGAATAGTGTAGGCCCAATAACAACAGCCAAGTTATAAGCATCCATTCTATTGAATTCATGATATTCAGCAACTCTATACAAAAATTGCATAAAGTATGCTAGAGTGTTTAGATGCACAGTTGGCAGTAACAAACAGGCAAGCAAAATTGCATCCACCTGTTTTCTATCCATCAAAACACATCTCAGGAATAATTCATGAAATGAATATGGAAGCAGAGGTTCTGGCAGCTCTCTGAAAAATGTCTTCAGTACACTTGCAACATCAATCACATGATGTTCCTCACTAAGATAGCAACCAGCATCTAATGATAACTAAAACATGTATGACAATTAAACTTAGTACACAAATACAATCAAATGCTATTACTTTTATCTCATTCTGTCGACTTTTAGAGCCACCTTTCCTAAATAATCCTTCAGTGTCAATTTGCATCACAATAAATGAACACAATTCATGCACAATTTTAGGCACAAGAAGTTGTTGACCACTGGGCAGGGTCACAGTCTCAACAGGAAGTAAATTCAAAGCTCTCTTAAATACTTTCCTACTTTTTGCTTCCTGAAAGTTTCATTGATAAAATCAGTAATGCATGCGAATAAATAATTTATCACATTCTAACCTCAGTGTGTTGGCGGCTTTTTTTCGGTCTGTATTTAATGCCGAGCGTCTTGAGATCTCCCACGGCAAGGCATTGTATTTCTTCTTTCTTGAGAACATCGTTGATGAACATCTTGACCCGCGGTTGATATAATGCGATTGTATAATTTTTATTTAAATCAAACCGTCATTTTAATCGAGCGGCGCAATCGGCACAACAGTCAACTCCGTATGTTTGAAAACACATGAGAAGCGCGCAACTAGCGCTACTGCACAACGGATGCGGTCAAAGTGAGAAAAACATATATTAAAAAGAGAAGCAGAACACATATGTATTTTAGATGAATTTTGAACCGGATAAATACAAAATACGTCGTAGGATTTACTATGACTAACAGTAACCACTCTATACATTCAAAACTTTTGCAAACTATGCAAGTGCCTGTAAAGCCTGGTGTAGGCGGCTATTATGACCATAAAATGTGCAAAATGTAGAAAATCCTGCATATTTTGTATTTATTACATAAACACTTGTTATGAATCTAATCTCTTGTTGAAAATATCAAGTAATCCATGTTTTGTAACCGTATTATTTGTTTATCGTGAGTTACAATTAAGTTTTCACTCAGAAAACTATAAAAATCCAATTTTACTATGAGTAAAACATGAATACTTATAACATTGATGTTTATTTTTATTCCATGACATCGCATCACTGTACAAATCATAGTTACTCAATATATCACAAACAAAATCTGCGCCCAGAACGAAACAAGAGTGAAAAGGGTAGTGAATACATTGGTTCTGCATTGTTATTACATTTACACGCTTGACCTTAACTATTATAACTATCTTGCCGAAAATTCTGCATAATCAATTTATTGAACTTCATTTAAAACACCCAGTCAGAGTCGTTCAATCGCTGTCGAATGATTGAACCAGTCTGACGTATTTTATTAAATAATTCATACTAAACGTGCTACATTTACTTCTTCCAGTCGTCCTTCTCGTAGTCCCATTTGGAGGAAAGACCCTCCACGGGGTTCATGTGCAAGTCGAGGATACGACGCAGCTGCGCCTCCTGCGCTTCCTTTTCGAAGCTTGGTGGCAGTGGGTTGTATACTAAAAATAGAATAAGTGATGTTTTGAATTGATAATTATTTGAGTATTTCGATGTCTTACCGAAGAACTTCATGCCCATGTAGAGCCACAAGCCCATAGATGCAAAGAACAATGTCATGCCAATAGTAGACTTCCATTGACCAGTGGGAGCCTTGAATTCAGAGAAGGTCTGACGGAAGGACGCCCTGTACAGAGCTTTCTTCTCTTCAATGGAAAGTTTTGACCAGTCTCCCTTCTCCTTCTCACGGAGAGCCTGAAAAAAAAGTAAAATTTAATTATTTTCTTCAAAGTTTTGTAGTTAATAATTACCTTAATGTCACTGGTTGGCTCCTTCCACCTCAAAGCAGGCATTGGGAAATCCGCCCGATCGACATAGTTGGGTTGTCCATTGAAACCGAAACCAACTACCTCCCTGCTACCAATGGCAACCTTCTTGGGATCCACAACAGCTCCATGAGCACCAGCAGCGCCGAGTGGAACAGTGCGCGCTTTGATGTTTCTAGCACCCAGAGCCAGAAGTCTGCCAGCCATGGTCTATAAAATCAAAGCAAACAACTAAAAATCCAACGTACCGCAAAATATTTCAAGTGCATGTATGCAGTGACATAAACTTGTATGATTAGGTAATCATCACTAGTAGCTAATGTTCAGGTTTTGTTTGCCAGCAGCGTGTGTTACGTCTTATATAGTAAAGTATTAAACATAAAGTTAAGAATTCATATTTTAGTCCAGTAGATATGCAATGCAGAACAGTTTGAAAGAATTGTTTAAATTCATATTCGATCTGTACTTACGATTGCGTGAATATATCAAGATGGCGAAAGACTAGATGCGAGTTTTTAGTGCGGTTAGGTAGGTTGGAACTCGGAATGCACGGAACAGCCCGATCGAGTGAGCGAGCAGTAGTCATAAGTGTGCATTTCATCAACGGCTTACAGATGGCGCTACGTGTATGATTTTTATCAAATTTAGCAATTAATTTCTTTGTGAAATTAATCCAGTAATTAGTTAAACACGCAAATTGCCTTAATAATACTTCTCTCAGGTTTCTTTCCGTGTTAAATTCTGCGTGTAACAACATAAATAAATAATAATATGTCTGATTTTTGTGAAAATTAATACTCTTCGCCATTTAAATGTTTATATAACCATTTCATTGTTAAATGGTGCATGAATTAAACACGGTCAAAAGTTGTTTACATTGTTGAGACATTCCGACGCTTATTTCCCTCATTTACGCTTTCACTGCGGCTTTCCCCTCAAATGTTCTTATTGTAGTTGTATAAAAGTTTGCTTATTACTTCCCTCACATACATATTTCGTCGTAAAGCCGAGCGCGCACACACTTAAAGCATTTTATTATTGCATTTTCGCAGATTGGGGAGTTAGCAAGAGAGCATAACTTTTCGTTGACGAACGAACCAACGAGTGCGCCGGACGTAAACGTCGAGCGCCCTGAACGACACATTAGTTCCATTACGCTACGATTACCGAAGTTACCAGTCACGAGCGCCAACTGGGTTGATGTTGGTTGGCTGGTTCCGGTTAGCATTGTGCATGTCGTTCATGCCGCTCCATCGAACCGTTCGGAATTGATCGAGGCGTCGATAGTGAAAACCTGGAAATGACCGATGCGCCCGTTTCACGTCCAGCCTTGGAAACACCGGCAAACGTTTGCCAATCCGACGCCCTGTTTGCTTATATTAGGGTAATAACCATTCGGACATTTTTCAAACTCACCGGCTACCGTTTTCCCAACACTCCGGGCAGGAAAAATTGAAAACGAGTGTAAGTGCCGCTTTCAATCAATTCCCGAACACATCACTCGCACGTGATCCCTTAGAGTAGAAAGGGTTGAATAAACAAGGAGCCAGGTCATAAATCTAATATTTTACGAAAACAAAAAAAATTTCGATGATTTTTCACATTACTTTCAGATTTTTTTAAATCAACTTTTTTTTTGTATTGACATACAAGGGAAGGTCGGATGCGGACTTTGTAGTTCTGCAACAAAGTTTAGCAACTTTATCAACTCCTTAATCATACTTAAGGCGAAGATACCACAGATGTCTTTCAAACTTTGCTTACCAATTAATAATAGGCCAAACTTGAAAAGATGATTAACTTTCGGGTTCGAGGGTTGCCCTCATTTACCTGTGCGAGAAAACTGAGCCTCAAATGTAAATGCCTTCAAATAGGCCCTCCAAAGGCGCGTAACAAACTTTATATGGTATTACAACTAGGGGGAAGAAGAATTTCCTCCGGGTGAGTGTTACACGAAGCAGAAACACTCAATAAAACTTGATTGTGTGCATATTTTGAAATGTTGTACTTCAAAATGTTTAATTGTTACTTACATGGATTTTGATTTTAATTCCCAGCCGCCATTTTGTTTCGAGATGGATAAAATGAAAATGCGAGGTTAAGTCAAAAGCGATTTGTTATTTAACACACAAATTAGACTACCTGTACAAATTAGGTATTCATATACATACGTATTATATAACAATATGAATTTTACACTGGACCGAATAGAACCTACTCATATTCTTATTGCAATAATAATTGTAAACGGTTGAGATGTCTCCATGCAGTTTGCTGTAAGATTTGCTTCACGTTTCGCTTCGACTTGGACTTTTTGCTTCTGGTAGTTGTATAGAATCAGGATGCCACAAGTACGTCCGCCATAAGTTATACATAATATAAATTCCTCACAAACGTGGTGCAACAATTGACTTGTGGTGTCTTTTTTGTGTGTGTGTGTGTAGGTGTATGTGTGCACTTCTCGTAGCAATAATTGTGTCGTTGTGTCGCATTGATATCTTTTTTTGATTTTTCGTGTTCGTAATAGACAAAGAATAGTTTTTCGTTTGCGCAAGTTTCACTAATAACTATAATGATATGATGAAAGTGGGTAAGGTACATTTGTGCTAAGGATTGCGTTATCCTGATTCCATCGCGTCACGTTGCGTGTTTTTGTTTTTGCTTTGTTTTTTGGTTTCTATATGTATAGAGTGTGTTCTGACGAACTGCAGTACAAGTTATACAAAAGATATAAACGTAATGTAAGTAGAAAAAACATAATGCGGTGGCGGAGTGGCCACTGCTCGCGGTCTTCGGTATGTGCTTTTCAGAGTGCCCTTTCAAAGAAGTAGACAACCTATCTACAAATATCTCCTAACACAAATCCTTATTAGACACCCGAATTGAACGGGCTATACACACAATATTTATTTAACTCTATTACTTGTTTTAGTTTTGTTTAGTTTTCATTTATACGTAGTGGGCTCCTGCTTCTGCTTTCGTCGCTCCTTTCATTCTCGTATCGATCGATATTCGGTCTTCCATCCTTGAAATTGTTTGCTCCACGCTCAAACTCCAACTGTCGTGATCTTGTCTTACTTTAATGTTACTCCTTAGGTTACTTTTGATAAACTTCGCGTTAGTGTTAATAGCTCCCGAAGTGTAGTCAGCCTTATTTAGTTAAATCGTTTTGTTTTTCTTCATTTCTTTTCTTATTTTCATGCATTTTACACTTAGAGATCGTCCGATGCATGGCTGCTTTGCTGTTTTTTGTCTTTTAATTTAGTAAACCGAAAAGAATGATAATGCATTTTTGTTATTTTTTGTTAGGTTTTTTGATGTGGTAGGATTAAAAATGCAGCATTTACAGCTCGCATTCGCCGACATTGCGGCTGGCAGCCGTGTGACCTACGAGTTGCAGGTGATAATCCGTGTTGAGCACCAAATCGGCAACGCAGCCGCGTACGCCGTGGGTGTACCGCCCACCTGTGCTCAGCGTCACGTCAGGGATGCCGCCGACGAAGAGGCCTTCTTGCGTCGCCCGCGGGTGTGGTAAGTCTACACTCTGGCGAGTTAATGTCGGGCCGTTGTCTACTTCTAAAATTCCAGAGCCTCCGTTTCTGTAACAGACAATGCAAACACATTTTAGAATATAAAAAGCACGCAGACATCAGATTAACTTTGTATTTTTTATGTTTTCTCAACAAAAAAAAGCATTTAAAATCAATGTGGGAGATTTTGGGTGAATCAACATCTCCTAAAAATATTATGACGTGCTCAGACATTCTGATTGCATTAAACCGCGCGTCGCAAATCGCGATCACTTCAAATTGCGATTGCGGCGCGAGCACTTATCAAGCGATTTTCCTCAAGACTTTTGTAAACCCGACGCTCGCATGTGCGCCGGCACTAAAACGGTTTGTCTGATGAAAACTTTATTGCAAACGGCGGCGCGGCGGCAACGGCGCTCGTGATGCACTTTAAAAGCCCTAGCAGATTTCTTCCACCACAACCGCTAGTTTACCACTACTTTATCAGCTAACTTTGACTCTTCGAAAGCGCTTTTTTGCGCCGCCTCACTCAACACCGCAAAGAAGTCGGCAACCGAATATACTGAATGCGTGTATATGTGGGCTGTGAGTGAAGAGGCAACTTCCTTATACTCGCGGATAACACTTTCATTATAAATCAAGTATGGCACAATACGCTTTCGCAGCAGACAATTGGAATTTGGCACGAACTGATAAAAGCTAACACACGCAGAGCTGGTGCTTGCGCAACCTACATGACTATTGATAATAACCATTGGGCCGAATTAGACGCGGGCTGGTAATTTAGCAAGTTTGCTGAATGCCGGCATAATAAGGGCGGCAACTCGCGGGCCGGATATGTACTCGAACAGCGCCGCTGCCGAAATGCATAATTCCCTCAAGTAATTGCTCATGCTTAACGTTCGCAGAGTAATTCACACCCGGCTAAAACTAACGCTGCCGCACTATCGTTACGGACTTTTGCGCTTTGCGCTTAGAGCTTTTACCAACCGCAAAAAATAACGATGCAAGACATGAGAAACACATGCGAAGAGTTAATTCAATTAACTTCTTTTGGAAACAACTTTGTTACATTCTAAAAACATAAAAACATTCGTAATTAACCTACAATACTTAAAATCTGTATTTTTTAATGTTTATAGTTTTAAAATCTTGAGTTATGATGTAGTAAATTAATTGAATCGTAAAAAACTTTTAATGAATATAGAAATGATATTTTAAGGTTAAGAAGTTTTGATATTGAGCTGAACTTCGGTTTCAGTAAAACTTTAGTACCCATGAACTCATTATCGATTTCATCACGTGTATAAAGCAAAGAAGACGAAACTTTAATCAAACTTGGAAAAATTCTGCAATATCCGGGAAATATGTAAAGCATGTTTTAGTTTAAATTTCACATGAAAAATACCGATAGTTGGCAATTTTTCCCAGTTTTATCCGCGCTGCAAAACTTTTTAATGAATTGCAAAGCAGGTCTCTGGCATTACCGAAATGTAAACAAAACAGTGTTACGCGCGGCGAAAAGTTTTATGCATTCGTTACCATTTCGGTGTGCGTGTTACAGCAGGTACGGCCATTACGTCGAATTGAATTCCACTCTCAAACAGAAAGCGGGATGAAGGATTACAGTGGATTTCTTCCGGTTTCGTTTCGTTTTTTCATCCTTTTTTAGTTCAAAATGTTCGATCGGCTGTTACATGTACTTGCTTTGCGTCCTTTCCGGCATATGATGAGACCTCACCTCGCATCGCCTTTTGATTTCGCCAATCGCAAATCTCGATCTGGAAATGTTCTGTACGCAATCTCGTAAAGCGTTATTGCATTGACTCGGCCTTTGTGCGCGCGTAAGCAAAAACCCATTTAATCAGAATTTACTCGATTTACCGACACTTTTATCTGGAGATATTCGCAAAGTGGGAGGTTGGGGGACGAAAGCCCGGAGGCTCGCGCCGCCGCCCCAAGCGCACTCTCGAGTGCCATTTGCTTTAAAACGTCGCAGTATGTCGATGGCGGCGGCCGAACGAGCGATAAGGGCAGCGCTTGAGAA